AGGCATCGTCAGGGATCACAGGCATCGTCAGGGATCACAGGCATCGTCAGGGATCACAGGCATCGTCCGGGATCACAGGCATCGTCAGGGATCACAGGCATCACAGGCATCGTCAGGGATCACAGGCATCGTCAGGGATCACAGGCATCGTCAGGGATCACAGGCATCGTCAGGGATCACAGGCATCGTCAGGGATCACAGGCATCGTCAGGGATCGTCAGGGATCACAGGCTTCGTCAGGGATCACAGGGATCTTCAGGGAGCACAGGGATCTTCAGGGATCACAGTCATCGTCAGGGATCACAGGGATCGTCAGGGATCACAGGCTTCGTCAGGGATCACAGGCATCGTCAGGGAGCACAGGGATCGTCAGGGAGCACAGGGATCTTCAGGGAGCACAGGGATCTTCAGGGATCAGTCATCGTCAGGGATCACAGGGATCGTCAGGGATCACAGGCATCGTCAGGGATCACAGGCATCGTCAGGGATCACAGGCATCGTCAGGGATCACAGGGATCGTCAGGGATCACAGGCATCGTCAGGGATCACAGGCATCGTCAGGGATCACAGGGATCGTCAGGGATCACAGGCATCGTCAGGGATCACAGGGATCGTCAGGGATCACAGGCATCGTCGGGGATCACAGGCATCGTCAGGGATCACAGGCATCGTCAGGGATCACAGGGATCGTCAGGGATCACAGGCATCGTCAGGGATCACAGGCATCGTCAGGGATCACAGGGATCGTCAGGGATCACAGGCATCGTCAGGGATCACAGGGATCGTCAGGGATCACAGGCATCGTCAGGGATCACAGGGATCGTCAGGGATCACAGGCATCGTCAGGGATCACAGGCATCGTCAGGGATCACAGGCATCGTCAGGGATCACAGGCATCGTCAGGGATCACAGGCATCGTCAGGGATCACAGGGATCGTCAGGGATCACAGGCATCGTCAGGGATCACAGGGATCGTCAGGGATCACAGGCATCGTCGGGGATCACAGGCATCGTCAGGGATCACAGGCATCGTCAGGGATCACAGGCATCGTCAGGGATCACAGGCATCGTCAGGGATCACAGGCATCGTCAGGGATCACAGGCATCGTCGGGGATCACAGGCATCGTCAGGGATCACAGGCATCGTCAGGGATCACAGGCATCGTCGGGGATCACAGGCATCGTCGGGGATCACAGGCATCGTCAGGCATCACAGGCATCGTCGGGGATCACAGGCATCGTCGGGGATCACAGGCATCGTCAGGGATCACAGGCATCGTCAGGGATCACAGGCATCGTAAGGGATCACAGGCATCGTCAGGGATCACAGGCATCGTCAGGGATCACAGGCATCGTCTGGGATCACAGGCATCGTCGGGGATCACAGGCATCGTCAGGCATCACAGGCATCGTCGGGGATCACAGGCATCGTCAGGGATCACAGGCATCGTCAGGGATCACAGGCATCGTCAGGGATCACAGGCATCGTCAGGGATCACAGGCATCACAGGCATCGTCAGGGATCGTCAGGGATCACAGGCTTCGTCAGGGATCACAGGCATCGTCAGGGAGCACAGGCATCGTCAGGGAGCACAGGGATCGTCAGGGAGCACAGGGATCGTCAGGGAGCACAGGGATCTTCAGGGATCACAGGCATCGTCAGGGATCACAGGGATCTTCAGGGATCACAGGCATCGTCAGGGATCACAGTCATCGTCAGGGATCACAGTCATCGTCAGGGATCACAGTCATCGTCAGGGATCACAGGCATCGTCAGGGATCACAGGCATCACAGGCATCGTCAGGGATCGTCAGGGATCACAGGCATCGTCAGGGAGCACAGGCATCGTCAGGGAGCACAGGCATCGTCAGGGAGCACAGGGATCGTCAGGGAGCACAGGGATCGTCAGGGAGCACAGGGATCTTCAGGGATCACAGGCATCGTCAGGGATCACAGGCATCGTCAGGGAGCACAGGGATCGTCAGGGAGCACAGGGATCTTCAGGGAGCACAGGGATCTTCAGGGAGCACAGGCATCGTCAGGGATCACAGGCATCGTCAGGGATCACAGGCATCGTCAGGGATCACAGGCATCGTCAGGGAGCACAGGGATCGTCAGGGATCACAGGCATCGTCAGGGATCACAGGCATCGTCAGGGAGCACAGGGATCGTCAGGGAGCACAGGGATCTTCAGGGAGCACAGGGATCTTCAGGGAGCACAGGCATCGTCAGGGATCACAGGCATCGTCAGGGATCACAGTCATCGTCAGGGATCACAGTCATCGTCAGGGATCACAGTCATCGTCAGGGATCACAGGCATCGTCAGGGATCACAGGGATCGTCAGGGATCACAGTCATCGTCAGGGATCACAGGCATCGTCAGGGATCACAGGGATCACAGGCATCGTCTGGGATCACAGGGATCACAGGCATCGTCTGGGATCGTCAGGGATCACAGGGATCACAGGCATCGTCAGGGATCACAGGGATCATGGCTCTCAAAGATGGCTTCCCGTTCAAATCAATGTTGGATTAGACTCTTTCATAGTAATTTCAGAATATAGAGATTTTAATCCATTAAACCTTGTAGTCAAACATGAGCACTTCCCTGTTGGTTTAGCATTGAGCTGACAGGTTAGCATTGAGCTAGCAGGTTAGCATTGAGCTATTGAGCTAGCAGGTTAGCATTAAGCTAGCAGGTTAGCGTTGAGCTAGCAGGTTAGCGTTGAGCTAAAGCCGAGCTACAGAATGCAGTTTTATTTCTAACTAAGTGTTTTCCTTCAGGTTCTCCGCGAGCCTCGACTCCGGTGCATCAGACCAAACTGGAGCATGATGTGTCCAACCTGAAGACCATGCCCAAAGGTCTGTCAGCCAGTCTGCCAGACCTGGACTCGGACTCCTGGATCGAGGTCAAGAAGAGGCCCAGACCATCTCCAGCAAGACCCAAAGTGAGGCTGCTGCTGCTGCGGCTACTGCTGCTACTTCTGCTACTGCTGTTACTGCTGCTACTGCTGTTACTGCTGCTGCTGCTGCTACTGCTGCTGCTTTTACATGTGTTGTAACCTGTGTCTGTTGTTGTGTGTAACCTGTGTCTGTTGTTGTGTGTAACCTGTGTCTGTTGTTGTGTGTAACCTGTGTCTGTTGTTGTGTGTAACCTGTGTCTGTTGTTGTGTGTAACCTGTGTCTGTTGTGTGTAACCTGTGTCTGTTGTGTGTAACCTGTGTCTGTTGTTGTTGTTGTGTGTAACCTGTGTCTGTTGTTGTGTGTAACCTGTGTCTGTTGTTGTGTGTAACCTGTGTCTGTTGTTGTGTGTAACCTGTGTCTGTTGTTGTGTGTAACCTGTGTCTGTTGTTGTGTGTAACCTGTGTCTGTTGTTGTGTGTAACCTGTGTCTGTTGTTGTGTGTAACCTGTGTCTGTTGTTGTGTGTAACCTGTGTCTGTTGTGTGTAACCTGTGTCTGTTGTGTGTAACCTGTGTCTGTTGTTGTTGTTGTTGTGTGTAACCTGTGTCTGTTGTTGTGTGTAACCTGTGTCTGTTGTTGTGTGTAACCTGTGTCTGTTGTTGTGTGTAACCTGTGTCTGTTGTGTGTAACCTGTGTCTGTTGTGTGTAACCTGTGTCTGTTGTGTGTAACCTGTGTCTGTTGTTGTTGTTGTGTGTAACCTGTGTCTGTTGTTGTGTGTGTAACCTGTGTCTGTTGTTGTGTGTGTAACCTGTGTCTGTTGTTGTGTGTAACCTGTGTCTGTTGTTGTGTGTAACCTGTGTCTGTTGTTGTGTGTGTAACCTGTGTCTGTTGTTGTGTGTAACCTGTGTCTGTTGTTGTGTGTAACCTGTGTCTGTTGTTGTGTGTAACCTGTGTCTGTTGTTGTGTGTAACCTGTGTCTGTTGTTGTGTGTAACCTGTGTCTGTTGTTGTTGTTGTGTGTAACCTGTGTCTGTTGTTGTGTGTAACCTGTTGTTGTTGTTGTTGTTGTGTGTAACCTGTTGTTGTTGTGTGTGTAACCTGTTGTTGTTGTGTGTAACCTGTGTCTGTTGTTGTTGTTGTGTGTAACTTGTGTCTGTTGTTGTTGTGTGTCTGTTGTTTTTTTGTTGTGTGTAACCTGTGTCTGTTGTTGTGTGTGTAACCTGTGTCTGTTGTTGTGTGTAACCTGTGTCTGTTGTTGTGTGTAACCTGTGTCTGTTGTTGTTGTTGTGTGTAACCTGTGTCTGTTGTTGTGTGTAACCTGTGTCTGTTGTTGTGTGTAACCTGTGTCTGTTGTTGTGTGTGTAACCTGTGTCTGTTGTTGTGTGTGTAACCTGTGTCTGTTGTTGTGTGTAACCTGTGTCTGTTGTTGTGTGTAACCTGTGTCTGTTGTTGTGTGTAACCTGTGTCTGTTGTTGTGTGTAACCTGTGTCTGTTGTTGTGTGTAACCTGTGTCTGTTGTGTGTAACCTGTGTCTGTTGTGTGTAACCTGTGTCTGTTGTTGTTGTTGTGTGTAACCTGTGTCTGTTGTTGTGTGTAACCTGTGTCTGTTGTTGTGTGTAACCTGTGTCTGTTGTTGTGTGTAACCTGTGTCTGTTGTTGTGTGTAACCTGTGTCTGTTGTGTGTAACCTGTGTCTGTTGTGTGTAACCTGTGTCTGTTGTGTGTAACCTGTGTCTGTTGTTGTTGTTGTGTGTAACCTGTGTCTGTTGTTGTGTGTGTAACCTGTGTCTGTTGTTGTGTGTGTAACCTGTGTCTGTTGTTGTGTGTAACCTGTGTCTGTTGTTGTGTGTAACCTGTGTCTGTTGTTGTGTGTGTAACCTGTGTCTGTTGTTGTGTGTAACCTGTGTCTGTTGTTGTGTGTAACCTGTGTCTGTTGTTGTGTGTAACCTGTGTCTGTTGTTGTGTGTAACCTGTGTCTGTTGTTGTTGTTGTGTGTAACCTGTGTCTGTTGTTGTGTGTAACCTGTTGTTGTTGTTGTTGTTGTGTGTAACCTGTTGTTGTTGTGTGTAACCTGTTGTTGTTGTGTGTAACCTGTGTCTGTTGTTGTTGTTGTGTGTAACTTGTGTCTGTTGTTGTTGTGTGTCTGTTGTTGTTTTTGTTGTGTGTAACCTGTGTCTGTTGTTGTGTGTGTAACCTGTGTCTGTTGTTGTGTGTAACCTGTGTCTGTTGTTGTGTGTAACCTGTGTCTGTTGTTGTGTGTAACCTGTGTCTGTTGTGTGTAACCTGTGTCTGTTGTGTGTAACCTGTGTCTGTTGTGTGTAACCTGTGTCTGTTGTTGTTGTTGTGTGTAACCTGTGTCTGTTGTTGTGTGTAACCTGTGTCTGTTGTTGTGTGTAACCTGTGTCTGTTGTTGTGTGTAACCTGTGTCTGTTGTTGTGTGTGTAACCTGTGTCTGTTGTGTGTAACCTGTGTCTGTTGTGTGTAACCTGTGTCTGTTGTTGTGTGTAACCTGTGTCTGTTGTGTGTAACCTGTGTCTGTTGTTGTTGTTGTGTGTAACCTGTGTCTGTTGTTGTGTGTGTAACCTGTGTCTGTTGTTGTGTGTGTAACCTGTGTCTGTTGTTGTGTGTAACCTGTGTCTGTTGTTGTGTGTGTAACCTGTGTCTGTTGTTGTGTGTGTAACCTGTGTCTGTTGTTGTGTGTAACCTGTGTCTGTTGTTGTTGTGTGTAACTGTTGTTGTTGTGTGTAACCTGTGTCTGTTGTTGTGTGTAACCTGTGTCTGTTGTTGTTGTTGTGTGTAACCTGTGTCTGTTGTGTGTAACCTGTTGTTGTTGTGTGTAACCTGTTGTTGTTGTGTGTAACCTGTGTCTGTTGTTGTTGTTGTGTGTAACCTGTGTCTGTTGTTGTTGTTGTGTGTAACCTGTGTCTGTTGTTGTTGTTGTGTGTAACCTGTGTCTGTTGTTGTTGTTGTGTGTGTGTAACCTGTTGTTGTTGTGTGTAACCTGTGTCTGTTGTTGTTGTTGTGTGTAACCTGTGTCTGTTGTTGTTGTGTGTAACCTGTGTCTGTTGTTGTGTGTGTAACCTGTGTCTGTTGTTTTTGTTGTGTGTAACCTGTGTCTGTTGTTGTTGTGTGTAACCTGTGTCTGTTGTTGTTGTGTGTAACCTGTGTCTGTTGTCTGTTGTTGTGTGTGTAACCTGTGTCTGTTGTTGTTGTTGTGTGTAACCTGTGTCTGTTGTCTGTTGTTGTTGTGTAACCTGTGTCTGTTGTCTGTTGTTGTTGTGTGTAACCTGTGTCTGTTGTTGTTGTGTGTAACCTGTGTCTGTTGTTGTTGTTGTGTGTAACCTGTGTCTGTTGTTGTTGTTGTGTGTAACCTGTGTCTGTTGTCGTTGTTGTGTGTAACCCGTGTCTGTTGTTGTTGTGTGTAACCTGTGTCTGTTGTTGTTGTTGTGTGTAACCTGTGTCTGTTGTTGTTGTGTGTGTAACCTGTGTCTGTTGTTGTTGGTGTGTGTAACCTGTGTCTGTTGTTGTGTGTAACCTGTGTCTGTTGTTGTTGTGTGTAACCTGTGTCTGTTGTTGTTGTGTGTAACCTCTGTCTGTTGTTGTTGTTGTGTGTAACCTGTGTCTGTTGTTGTTGTTGTGTGTAACCTGTGTCTGTTGTTGTTGTTGTGTGTAACCTGTGTCTGTTGTTGTTGTTGTGTGTAACCTGTGTCTGTTGTGGTTGTTGTGTGTAACCTGTGTCTGTTGTTGTGTGTAACCTGTGTCTGTTGTTGTTGTTGTGTGTAACCTGTTGTTGTTGTTGTGTGTAACCTGTGTCTGTTGTTGTTGTTGTGTGTAACCTGTTGTTGTTGTGTGTAACCTGTGTCTGTTGTTGTTGTGTGTGTAACCTGTGTCTGTTGTTGTTGTTGTTGTGTGTAACCTGTGTCTGTTGTTGTTGTTGTGTGTAACCTGTGTCTGTTGTGTGTGTAACCTGTGTCTGTTGTTGTTGTGTGTAACCTGTGTCTGTTGTTGTTGTTGTGTGTAACCTGTGTCTGTTGTTGTTGTTGTTGTGTGTAACCTGTGTCTGTTGTTGTTGTGTGTGTAACCTGTGTCTGTTGTTGTTGGTGTGTGTAACCTGTGTCTGTTGTTGTGTGTAACCTGTGTCTGTTGTTGTTGTGTGTGTAACCTGTGTCTGTTGTTGTTGTTGTGTGTAACCTGTGTCTGTTGTTGTTGTGTGTAACCTGTGTCTGTTGTTGTTGTTGTGTGTAACCTGTGTCTGTTGTTGTTGTGTGTAACCTGTGTCTGTTGTTGTTGTTGTTGTGTGTAACCTGTGTCTGTTGTTGTTGTGTGTGTAACCTGTGTCTGTTGTTGTTGTGTGTAACCTGTGTCTGTTGTTGTTGTGTGTAACCTGTGTCTGTTGTTGTTGTTGTTGTTGTGTGTAACCTGTGTCTGTTGTTGTTGTTGTTGTGTGTAACCTGTGTCTGTTGTTGTGTGTAACCTGTGTCTGTTGTTGTTGTTGTTGTGTGTAACCTGTGTCTGTTGTTGTTGTTGTTGTGTGTAACCTGTGTCTGTTGTTGTTGTTGTGTGTAACCTGTGTCTGTTGTTGTTGTGTGTAACCTGTGTCTGTTGTTGTTGTTGTTGTGTGTAACCTGTGTCTGTTGTTGTTGTTGTGTGTAACCTGTGTCTGTTGTTGTTGTTGTTGTGTGTAACCTGTGTCTGTTGTTGTTGTGTGTGTAACCTGTGTCTGTTGTTGTTGTTGTTGTTGTGTGTAACCTGTGTCTGTTGTTGTTGTGTGTAACCTGTGTCTGTTGTTGTGTGTAACCTGTGTCTGTTGTTGTGTGTAACCTGTGTCTGTTGTTGTGTGTAACCTGTGTCTGTTGTTGTGTGTAACCTGTGTCTGTTGTTGTGTGTAACCTGTGTCTGTTGTTGTGTGTAACCTGTGTCTGTTGTTGTGTGTAACCTGTGTCTGTTGTCGTTCCAGAACCATTCGTTTCAGCAGAAGGACAAAGAGTGCTCAGTGGCGCCCCCTTCAGGCTCCTCTCCACTGCCCTCTGCAGCGGTGAAGGTGAGACTGATCTGTCGACCAATGAGAATCCAGGACCACTGTGACATCGAGTCACTCAAACCTGTATTAAAATCATTTCATTCTCCAGTGAACATCATTAACACAGACCTCTGAAGCTAAGCAGGACAGGCCGTGGTTAGTACTGTGACGGGAGACCTCTGAAGCTAAGCAGGACAGGGCGTGGTTAGTACTGTGACGGGAGACCTCTGAAGCTAAGCAGGACAGGGCCTGGGTAGTACTGTGATGTGGACTGTTCCATTCAAACGAACTACTAAAGAATGGATGCTCTGACGTTGGCTCTGGCGTCGGCTCTGGCGTCGGCTCTGGCTCTGGCGTTGGCTCTGGCGTCGGCTCTGGCGTTGGCTCTGGCGTCGGCTCTGGCTCTGACGTTGGCTCTGGCGTCGGCTCTGGCTCTGGCGTCGGCTCTGGCGTCGGCTCTGGCTCTGGCGTCGGCTCTGGCTCTGGCGTCGGCTCTGGCTCTGGCGTCGGCTCTGGCGTCGGCTCTGGCTCTGGCGTCGGCTCTGGCGTCGGCTCTGGCTCTGGCGTCGGCTCTGGCTCTGGCGTCGGCTCTGGCGTCGGCTCTGGCGTTGGCTCTGGCGTCGGCTCTGGCTCTGGCGTCGGCTCTGGCGTCGGCTCTGGCGTCGGCTCTGGCGTCGGCTCTGGCGTCGGCTTTGGCGTCGGCTCTGGCGTCGGCTCTGGCGTCGGCTCTGGCGTCGGCTCTGGCGTCGGCTCTGGCGTCGGCTCTGGCGTCGGCTCTGGCTCTGACGTTGGCTCTGGCGTCGGCTCTGGCTCTGGCGTCGGCTCTGGCGTCGGCTCTGGCTCTGGCGTCGGCTCTGGCGTTGGCTCTGGCTCTGGCGTTGGCTCTGGCGTTGGCTCTGGCGTCGGCTCTGGCTCTGACGTTGGCTCTGGCGTCGGCTCTGGCTCTGGCGTCGGCTCTGGCGTCGGCTCTGGCGTCGGCTCTAAGGTCGGCTAACTTCTTATGTGGTTCCAGGAGGGTGGGGAGCAGGACGAGCCCGAAGAGTTGGACTTCATGTTCGATGAGGAGATGGCGCAGATGGACGGGCGGCGGAACACGTTCACCGATTGGTCGGATGATGACACGGACGGCGAGATCGACGACCACGACGTGAACAAGATCCTGATTGTGACGCAGACGCCGCCGTATCTACGCAAACACCCGGGCGGCGACCGCACCGGCAACCACACGTCACGAGCAAAACTGTCCAGCGAGTTCGTCAAAGTCATCAACGACGGACTCTTCTACTACGAACAAGACCTGTGGGAGGACACGGAGCCGGAGTACGCCACGATTAAGGTATTTATTAATTATTATTATACAGCTCCTCACAGCAGCAGCAGAACCATTCATGTGAACGTCATTTCAAACATTCTACCGGTCATTATTGTCTATAACCGACCTCTCAAAACAATAATGACCGCTGCCCTTTGGCAACGCACTCTCTGCTTGTCTTTCAAATGCGTGGATAACTCCGACAGTAGTTCCGGCTGCTCCGGAGCTAGCCACGCTCAATCAACACACTTAAATGTTAATCGGAGAATAGTTCCGGCCGCTCAATAAACGCAATGAAATGTTAATGGGAGAGTAATTTATACATATCCAGTCTTAACACAAGTGCACGGAAGTTTCCAGAATTTTCCGTTTCCGTTTTCATGACAAAAACACTGATGTAATGCGAGAAAAGGCGATGGTGAAAAACCCGGAAGTAGATACGGCACATTTTAGGAACATTTGCAGAGGATGGAATTATGGATTTAGGTTAAGTTTATGTTTGGGTCACTCACCGCTGATGTTCAGGATTCTGTGTTCAGTTTTCATGCTGTTCCACAGAGTTCTAGTTTGGAAGTTGTTAGCCTAATGGTGCTAGCATAGCCACGGGAAAGCCTTTGGGAACTATTTTATTTTCTTTCTTATTTTAAATAAACCTTTGGGCATTCCTAAAAGTGACTGAGGTTTATGTTGTGTTCTGTTGGTTTAAAGCCGTATAATAATCGGGATAACGTATAGTACAGGTCATTATCGGAAAAAAAGTACCTTCAGGGCGGAATTATTTTCCGACAATGACCTGCGTCATATACGTTATCCCTTACATATTAATATGAATACAGACACGTACGAGCCGGAGTACGCTACAATGAAGGTAATTATTCAAAATCAATAATAATAATATTAATAATCATATACAGTGCCTTGCAAAAGTATTCACCGCCCTTGGCATTTTGTGTGTTTTGTTGCCTCAAAACCTGGAATTAACATGGATTGTTTGAGGATTTGCATCAGTTAATTTACAGAACATGCCACAACTTTGAAGATGTTGTTTTTTTTATTTATCAAGTGTTGCTTTAGCAGTGTGTTTGGGGTCAGTGTCCTGCTGAAGGTGAACCTCCGTCCTAGCCTCACATACGCACAGAGTGGCACAGGTTTAGCTCAAGAATATCCCTGTATTTAGCACCATCCATCTTTCCCTCAACTCTGACCAGTTTTTTGCTGAAAGTAATGTCTTTCTTCTGCCGCTCTGCCATAAAGCCCAACTCTGTGGAGCGTACGGCTTATTGTGGTCCTATGTACAGATGCTCCAGTCTCTGCTGTGGAACTCTGCAGCTCCTCCAGGGTAACCTTAGGTCTCTGTGCTGCCTGATTAATGCCCTCCGTGCCCGGTCCCTGAGTTTTGGTGGGCGGCCGTCTCTTGGCAGGTTTGCTGTTGTGCCATGTTCTTTCCATTTGGTTATGATAGATTTGATGGTGCTCCTGGGGATCATCACAGATTTGGATATTTGTTTATAACCTAACCCTGACTTGTACTTCTCAACAACACTGTCCCTGACCTGTTTGGAGAGTTCCTTGGTCTTCATGGCAGTGTTTGGTCAGTGGTGTCTCTTGCTTTGGTGTTGCAGCCTCTGAGGCCTTTCAGGTGTGTGTATGTACTGACAGGTCATGTGACACTTAGAGGTGTGTATGTACTGACAGGTCATGTGACACTTAGAGGTGTGTATGTACTGACAGGTCATGTGACACTTAAAGGTGTGTATGTACTGACAGGTCATGTGACACTTAAAGGTGTGTATGTACTGACAGATCATGTGACACTTAAAGGTGTGTATGTACTGACAGGTCATGTGACACTTAGAGGTGTGTATGTACTGACAGGTCATGTGACACTTAAAGGTGTGTATGTACTGACAGGTCATGTGACACTTAAAGGTGTGTATGTACTGACAGGTCATGTGACACTTAAAGGTGTGTATGTACTGACAGGTCATGTGACACTTAAAGGTGTGTATGTACTGACAGGTCATGTGACACTTAAAGGTGTGTATGTACTGACAGGTCATGTGACACTTAAAGGTGTGTATATGTACTGACAGGTCATGTGACACTTAGAGGTGTGTATGTACTGACAGGTCATGTGACACTTAAAGGTGTGTATGTACTGACAGGTCATGTGACACAGGTGTGTGTATGTACTGACAGGTCATGTGACACTTAAAGGTGTGTATGTACTGACAGGTCATGTGACACTTAAAGGTGTGTATGTACTGACAGATCATGTGACACTTAAAGGTGTGTATGTACTGACAGATCATGTGACTCTTAAAGGTGTGTATGTACTGACAGGTCATGTGACACAGGTGTGTGTATGTACTGACAGATCATGTGACTCTTAAAGGTGTGTATGTACTGACAGGTCATGTGACACTTAAAGGTGTGTATGTACTGACAGGTCATGTGACACAGGTGTGTGTATGTACTGACAGGTCATGTGACTCTTAAAGGTGTGTATGTACTGACAGGTCATGTGACTCTTAAAGGTGTGTATGTACTGACAGATCATGTGACACTTAAAGGTGTGTATGTACTGACAGGTCATGTGACACTTAGAGGTGTGTATGTACTGACAGATCATGTGACACTTAAAGGTGTGTATGTACTGACAGATCATGTGACACTTAAAGGTGTGTATGTACTGACAGGTCATGTGACACTTAGAGGTGTGTATGTACTGACAGGTCATGTGACACTTAGAGGTGTGTATGTACTGACAGGTCATGTGACACTTAAAGGTGTGTATGTACTGACAGGTCATGTGACACAGGTGTGTGTATGTACTGACAGATCATGTGACTCTTAAAGGTGTGTATGTACTGACAGATCATGTGACACTTAAAGGTGTGTATGTACTGACAGATCATGTGACACTTAAAGGTGTGTATGTACTGACAGATCATGTGACTCTTAAAGGTGTGTATGTACTGACAGATCATGTGACACTTAAAGGTGTGTATGTACTGACAGGTCATGTGACACAGGTGTGTGTATGTACTGACAGATCATGTGACTCTTAAAGGTGTGTATGTACTGACAGGTCATGTGACTCTTAAAGGTGTGTATGTACTGACAGGTCATGTGACACTTAAAGGTGTGTATGTACTGACAGGTCATGTGACACTTAGAGGTGTGTATGTACTGACAGATCATGTGACACTTAAAGGTGTGTATGTACTGACAGATCATGTGACACTTAAAGGTGTGTATGTACTGACAGGTCATGTGACACTTAAAGGTGTGTATGTACTGACAGGTCATGTGACACTTAGAGGTGTGTATGTACTGACAGGTCATGTGACACTTAGAGGTGTGTATGTACTGACAGGTCATGTGACACTTAGAGGTGTGTATGTACTGACAGGTCATGTGACACTTAGAGGTGTGTATGTACTGACAGGTCATGTGACACTTAAAGGTGTGTATGTACTGACAGGTCATGTGACACTTAGAGGTGTGTATGTACTGACAGGTCATGTGACACTTAAAGGTGTGTATGTACTGACAGGTCATGTGACACTTAGAGGTGTGTATGTACTGACAGGTCATGTGACACTTAGAGGTGTGTATGTACTGACAGGTCATGTGACACTTAGAGGTGTGTATGTACTGACAGGTCATGTGACACTTAAAGGTGTGTATGTACTGACAGGTCATGTGACTCTTAAAGGTGTGTATGTACTGACAGGTCATGTGACACTTAAAGGTGTGTATGTACTGACAGGTCATGTGACTCTTAAAGGTGTGTATGTACTGACAGGTCATGTGACTCTTAAAGGTGTGTATGTACTGACAGGTCATGTGACTCTTAAAGGTGTGTATGTACTGACAGGTCATGTGACTCTTAAAGGTGTGTGTATGTACTGACAGGTCATGTGACTCTTAAAGGTGTGTATGTACTGACAGGTCATGTGACACTTAAAGGTGTGTATGTACTGACAGGTCATGTGACACTTAAAGGTGTGTATGTACTGACAGGTCATGTGACTCTTAAAGGTGTGTATGTACTGACAGGTCATGTGACACTTAGAGGTGTGTATGTACTGACAGGTCATGTGACACTTAAAGGTGTGTATGTACTGACAGGTCATGTGACACTTAAAGGTGTGTATGTACTGACAGGTCATGTGACACTTAAAGGTGTGTGTATGTACTGACAGGTCATGTGACTCTTAAAGGTGTGTATGTACTGACAGGTCATGTGACACTTAAAGGTGTGTATGTACTGACAGGTCATGTGACACTTAAAGGTGTGTATGTACTGACAGGTCATGTGACTCTTAAAGGTGTGTATGTACTGACAGGTCATGTGACACTTAGAGGTGTGTATGTACTGACAGGTCATGTGACACTTAAAGGTGTGTATGTACTGACAGGTCATGTGACTCTTAAAGGTGTGTATGTACTGACAGGTCATGTGACACTTAAAGGTGTGTATGTACTGACAGGTCATGTGACACTTAAAGGTGTGTATGTACTGACAGGTCATGTGACACTTAAAGGTGTGTATGTACTGACAGGTCATGTGACACTTAAAGGTGTGTATGTACTGACAGGTCATGTGACACTTAAAGGTGTGTGTGTACTGACAGGTCATGTGACTCTTAAAGGTGTGTATGTACTGACAGGTCATGTGACACTTAAAGGTGTGTGTATGTACTGACAGGTCATGTGACTCTTAAAGGTGTGTGTATGTACTGACAGGTCATGTGACACTTAGAGGTGTGTGTATGTACTGACAGGTCATGTGACACTTAGAGGTGTGTGTATGTACTGACAGGTCATGTGACACTTAAAGGTGTGTGTATGTACTGACAGGTCATGTGACACTTAAAGGTGTGTGTATGTACTGACAGGTCATGTGACTCTTAAAGGTGTGTGTATGTACTGACAGGTCATGTGACACTTAGAGGTGTGTGTATGTACTGACAGGTCATGTGACACTTAAAGGTGTGTGTGTACTGACAGGTCATGTGACTCTTAAAGGTGTGTATGTACTGACAGGTCATGTGACACTTAAAGGTGTGTGTATGTACTGACAGGTCATGTGACACTTAGAGGTGTGTGTATGTACTGACAGGTCATGTGACACTTAGAGGTGTGTGTATGTACTGACAGGTCATGTGACACTTAAAGGTGTGTGTATGTACTGACAGGTCATGTGACTCTTAAAGGTGTGTGTATGTACTGACAGGTCATGTGACTCTTAAAGGTGTGTATGTACTGACAGGTCATGTGACTCTTAAAGGTGTGTATGTACTGACAGGTCATGTGACACTTAGAGGTGTGTATGTACTGACAGGTCATGTGACACTTAGAGGTGTGTATGTACTGACAGGTCATGTGACACTTAAAGGTGTGTATGTACTGACAGGTCATGTGACTCTTAAAGGTGTGTGTATGTACTGACAGGTCATGTGACACTTAGAGGTGTGTGTATGTACTGACAGGTCATGTGACACAGGTGTGTATGTACTGACAGGTCATGTGACACTTAAAGGTGTGTGTATGTACTGACAGGTCATGTGACTCTTAAAGGTGTGTGTATGTACTGACAGGTCATGTGACTCTTAAAGGTGTGTATGTACTGACAGGTCATGTGACACTTGCACACAGGTGGACATCCTTTCACTATTTATGTGACTTCTGAAGGTAGTTGGCTGCACCAGAGCTTTTTATGGGCTTCATAACAAAGGGGGTGAATACTTATGCACATGCCAATTTCCAGTTTTTTATTTCTGAAATAGTTTTATGTATATATTTTTGTCAATTCACTTCACCAACTTAGAGTATTGTTTTCTGATCCATCACATGACATCCAGATAAAAATCATTGAACTAAAGGCTGTAATGTAACAAAATTGGTAAAAAGCCAGGGGGTGAATACTTTTGCAAGGCACTGTAGATAGACACTTTGCTACATGTGTCTCTCTCTGTAGATCCTAGTGTTTTGTATGTTTTAATATAATGTATAATTAGAATGAACCCAAACCGATAAATCCAGGTAAAAGTCTGACACTGAAAAACACACAAATCCATTTTAGAAAAGTCTGAAACTCTTCTGGATCCGACTGAACTGTGGCTTTTGTTGGTTTTCCGCTTCATTGTTGCTTTGTTTCTGTGGACTCTTCACGCGCTCGCGGGCAAACGTGGAAACACAATCACACAGTCGCACACAGTCGCACACAGACGCACACAGACGCACACAGTCGCACACAGACGCACACAGACGCACACAGTCGCACTAGACCTGCGCCTTCTTCAAGATGGACACCTGTGGCAGAAGATGTGAGGTCCACTCTGAGGTAAAAGCTGGGTTAGGTGTGAAGACATGAGGTAAGACCAGAGGGAGAGACCAGAGGGAGAGACCAGAGGGAGAGACCAGAGGGAGAGACCAGAGGGAGAGACCAGAGGGAGAGACCAGAGGGAGAGACCAGAGGGAGAGACCAGAGGGAGAGACCAGAGGGAGACCAGAGAGAGACCAGAGAGAGAGACCAGAGGGAGAGACCAGAGGGAGAGACCAGAGGGAGAGACCAGAGGGAGAGACCAGAGGGAGAGACCAGAGGGAGAGACCAGAGGGAGAGACCAGAGGGAGAGACCAGAGGGAGAGACCAGAGGGAGAGACCAGAGGGAGAGACCAGAGAGAGAGACCAGAGAGAGAGACCAGAGAGAGAGACCAGAGAGAGAGACCAGAGAGAGAGACCAGAGGGAGAGACCAGAGAGAGAGACCAGAGAGAGAGACCAGAGGGAGAGACCAGAGGGAGAGACCAGAGGGAGAGACCAGAGGGAGAGACCAGAGGGAGAGACCAGAGGGAGAGACCAGAGGGAGAGACCAGAGGGAGAGACCAGAGGGAGAGACCAGAGGGAGAGACCAGAGGGAGAGACCAGAGGGAGAGACCAGACAGAGGGAGAGACCAGACAGAGGGAGAGACCAGAGGGAGAGACCAGAGGGAGAGACCAGAAAACTTGGTTCTACACTTAGTTTAGATTCTGACTTTTTACATCCACTGTAGCTAGTTCAAATCACGTAACCATAGAGAGACACAGGCCTCTGCTGTTCTGTCAGCCCGGCTCTGAGAGAGCGAGGCCCGGCTCTGAGAGAGCGAGGCCCGGCTCTGAGAGAGCGAGGCCTGGGTCTGAGAGAGCGAGGCCTGGGTCTGAGAGAGCGAGGCCCGGGTCTGAGAGAGCGAGGCCTGGGTCTGAGAGAGCGAGGCCTGGGTCTGAGAGAGCGAGGCCTGGGTCTGAGAGAGCGAGGCCCGGGTCTGAGAGAGCGAGGCCCGGGTCTGAGAGAGCGAGGCCCGGGTCTGAGAGAGCGAGGCCCGGGTCTGAGACTTAAAACCGTTCCTCTCTTTGCAGCAGGAGGTGGAGAACTTTAAGAAGGTCCATCTGATCAGCAGAGAAGAGTTCGACTGTTTGACTCCTGAGCCTCCAGTGGACCTTAACCAGGAAGTGCCTCCAGGACCCCCCAAGCCCCAGCACAGTCAGTCTCTGTCTCTCTCTCTGTCCCTGTCCCTCTGCCTCTGTCCCTGTGTCTCTGCCTCTGTCCCTGTCCCTGTCCCTCTGTCTCTGTCTCTGCCTCTGTCCCTGTGTCTCTGCCTCTGCCTCTGTCCCTGTCCCTGTCCCTCTGTCTCTGCCTCTGTCCCTGTGTCTCTGTCTCTGCCTCTGTCTCTGCCTCTGTCCCTGTCCCTGTCCCTCTGTCTCTGCCTCTGTCCCTGTCCCTGTCCCTCTGTCTCTGCCTCTGTCCCTGTCCCTGTCCCTGTCCCTCTGTCTCTGCCTCTGTCCCTGTCCCTGTCCCTCTGCCTCTGTCCCTGTCCCTGTCCCTCTGTCTCTGTCTCTGCCTCTGTCCCTGTGTCTCTGTCTCTGCCTCTGCCTCTGTCCCTGTCCCTGTCCCTCTGTCTCTGTCTCTGCCTCTGTCCCTGTGTCTCTGTCTCTGCCTCTGCCTCTGTCCCTGTCCCTTTCCCTCTGTCTCTGCCTCTGTCTCTGCCTCTGTCTCTGTCTCTGCCTCTGTCCCTGTCCCTCTGTCTCTGCCTCTGTCCCTGTCCCTTTCCCCTCTGTCTCTGCCTCTGTCTCTGCCTCTGTCCCTGTCCCTGTCCCTCTGTCTCTGCCTCTGTCCCTGTCCCTCTGTCTCTGCCTCTGTCCCTGTCCCTCTGTCTCTGCCTCTGTCCCTGTCCCTCTGTCTCTGTCTCTGTCTCTGCCTCTGTCCCTGTCCCTGTCCCTCTGTCTCTGTCTCTGCCTCTGTCCCTCTGTCTCTGCCTCTGCCTCTGTCCCTGTCCCTGTCCCTCTGTCGGTTTCTCTGCCTCTGTCCCTGTCCCTGTCCCTCTGTCTCTGCCTCTGTCCCTGTCCCTCTGTCTCTGTCTCTGTCTCTGCCTCTGTCCCTGTCCCTGTCCCTCTGTCTCTGCCTCTGTCCCTGTCCCTCTGTCTCTGCCTCTGCCTCTGTCCCTGTCACTGTCCCTCTGTCTCTGTCTCTGCCTCTGCCTCTGTCCCTGTCCCTGTCCCTCTGTCTCTGTCTCTGTCTCATGTCCTCTTGTCTCTCAGTCCCCACAGATGCTCTCGCCAACAAACTCTTCGGGGCCCCGGACCCCTCGTCGATAGCCCGCTCTCTCCCCACAACCGTCCCGGAGTCGCCTGGTTTCCGTAGCAACAGGACGCCGCGGACGCCGCGCACGCCGCACCGTAAAGATGCCACGATGACGCCGCGGTTTTACCCCGTGGTGAAGGAGAGCCGACCTGTGGACGCCAAGGTAGAGAGACCAGAGGGGGAGGGAGAGACCGACCAGAGGGGGAGGGAGAGACCGACCAGAGGGGGAGGGAGGGACCAGAGGGGGAGGGAGGGACCGACCAGAGGGGGAGGGAGGGACCGACCAGAGGGGGAGGGAGAGACCAGAGGGGGAGGGAGGGACCAGAGGGGGAGGGAGGGACCGACCAGAGGGGGAGGGAGAGACCGACCAGAGGGGGAGGGAGAGACCGACCAGAGGGGGAGGGAGGGACCGACCAGAGGGGGAGGGAGAGACCAGAGGGGGAGGGACCGACCAGAGGGGGAGGGAGGGACCGACCAGAGGGGGAGGGAGGGACCGACCAGAGGGGGAGGGAGGGACCGACCAGAGGGGGAGGGAGAGACCGACCAGAGGGGGAGGGAGGGACCGACCAGAGGGGGAGGGAGAGACCGACCAGAGGGGGAGGGAGGGACCGACCAGAGGGGGAGGGAGGGACCGACCAGAGGGGGAGGGAGGGACCGACCAGAGGGGGAGGGAGGGACCGACCAGAGGGGGAGGGAGGGACCGACCAGAGGGGGAGGGAGGGACCGACCAGAGGGGGAGGGAGGGACCGACCAGAGGGGGAGGGAGAGACCGACCAGAGGGGGAGGGAGAGACCGACCAGAGGGGGAGGGAGAGACCGATCAGAGGGGGAGGGAGGGACCAGAGGGGGAGGGAGGGACCAGAGGGGGAGGGAGGGACCAGAGGGGGAGGGAGAGACCGACCAGAGGGGGAGGGAGAGACCGACCAGAGGGGGAGGGAGAGACCGACCAGAGGGGGAGGGAGGGACCAGAGGGAGAGAGAGACCGACCAGAGGGGGAGGGAGAGACCGACCAGAGGGGGAGGGAGAGACCGACCAGAGGGGGAGGGAGAGACCGACCAGAGGGGGAGGGAGAGACCGACCAGAGGGGGAGGGAGAGACCGACCAGAGGGGGAGGGAGAGACCGACCAGAGGGGGAGGGAGAGACCGACCAGAGGGGGAGGGAGGGACCAGAGGGAGAGAGAGACCGACCAGAGGGGGAGAGAGACCGACCAGAGGGGGAGGGAGAGACCGACCAGAGGGGGAGGGAGAGACCGACCAGAGGGTGAGGGAGGGACCAGAGGGGGAGAGAGACCGACCAGAGGGGGAGCGATGTTAAATCCTTTGTGACCTTTTTTTTTTCCCAGACGCCGCGTAAGAGGAAGACCCGGCACAGCTCGAACCCGCCGCTGGAGTGCCACGTGGGTTGGGTCATGGACTCCCGAGAGCACCGATCCAGAACCGCCTCCGTCAGCTCCTCCACCGCCAGCCCGTCCGAGGCCACGCCCGTCCTGGGCACCATCGGCGCCACGCCTCAGTCTCTGCCCAAGTTCCAGCACCCGTCCCACGAGCTGCTCAAGGAGAACGGATTCACGCAACACGTCTACCACAAGTACCGCCGACGCTGCCTCAACGGTAGGGCTAGTAGGGTCTGGGTCGGTAGGGTCTGGGTCGGTAGGGTTTGTAGGGTCTGGGTCGGTAGAATCAGAATCAGAATCATTTTTATTGCCACGTAAGTAACAGGAAGTCACAGACTTGGAAATTGCTTTGGCTCAGTGCAACAGTCAAAAAGAGATAATAAAAATAAGAATAAAAAACACTTCTAAAGAATAAATTTAAATTTAAAATAGAGTTACAGTTACTATTTACAATATACAAGTGCACATGGTGCACACAATATAAGGTGACAGCAGTACAGTGAAGTAAAGTGACGTATGATGGGCAGTAAAGTGACTTTATAAAGGGCGGGGGACAGGTTAAGAAGTGTTCAAGAGTCCAACAGCAGAGGGGAAGAAACTGTTCTTGTGGCGGGAGGTTCTAGTCCTGATGGACCGCAGCCTCCTGCCTGAGGGGAGTGGTTGGAATAGTCCATGTGCAGGTGAGAGGGGAGTGGTTGGAATAGTCCATGTGCAGGTGAGAGGGGAGTGGTTGGAATAGTCCATGTGCAGGTGAGAGGGGAGTGGTTGGAATAGTCCATGTGCAGGTGAGAGGGGAGTGGTTGGAATAGTCCATGTGCAGGTGAGAGGGGAGTGGTTGGAATAGTCTATGTGCAGGTGAGAGGGGAGTGGTTGGAATAGTCCATGTGCAGGTGAGAGGGGAGTGGTTGGAATAGTCCATGTGCAGGTGAGAGGGGAGTGGTTGGAATAGTCCATGTGCAGGTGAGAGGGGAGTGGTTGGAATAGTCCATGTGCAGGTGAGAGGGGAGTGGTTGGAATAGTCCATGTGCAGGTGAGAGGGGAGTGGTTGGAATAGTCCATGTGCAGGTGAGAGGGGAGTGGTTGGAATAGTCCATGTGCAGGGTGAGAGGGGAGTGGTTGGAATAGTCCATGTGCAGGTGAGAGGGGAGTGGTTGGAATAGTCCATGTGCAGGTGAGAGGGGAGTGGTTGGAATAGTCCATGTGCAGGTGAGAGGGGTCGGCTGTGATACGACCAGCCCGGCCTCGAGCTCGGGCGACGTACAGGTCCTGCAGCGATGGAAGGCTGCGGCCGATCACTTCCTCTGCAGAGCGCACAATGCACTGTAGTCTCTGTTTGTCCCTGACTGTGGCTCCAGCGAACCACACGGTGATGGAGGAGGTGATGGAGGAGGTGATGGAGGAGGTGATGGAGGAGGTGATGGAGGAGGTGATGGAGGAGGTGATGGAGGAGGTGATGGAGGAGGTGATGGAGGAGGTAATGGAGGAGGTGATGCAGGAGGTGATGGAGGAGGTGCTGGAGGAGGTGCTGGAGGAGGTGGTGGAGGAGGTGTTGGAGGAGGTGATGGAGGAGGTGATGGAGGAGGTGATGGAGGAGGTGATGGAGGAGGTGATGGAGGAGGTGATGGAGGAGGTGATGAGGAGGTGATGGAGGAGGTGATGGAGGAGGTGATGGAGGAGGTGGTGATGGACTCGATGATGGCCGTGTAGAACTGCAGCTTGGCTTTCCTGAGCTGCCGCAGGAAGTACATCCTCTGCTGGGCCTTCTTGATGAGGAGCTGATGGTCGGCTCCCACTTGAGGTCCTGGGTGATGGTGGTGCCCAGGAAACGGAAGGACTCCACAGAGGTGATGGGGGAGTCCATCACGGAGGGTGGGGGTGGGGGGACAGTGCTCTTCCTGAAGTCCACAATCATCTCCACTGTCTTCTGGGCGTTCAGCTCCAGGTTGTTACCACTGCACCAGGACACCAGCCGGTCCACCTCCCTCCTGTAGGAGACACCAGGACACCAGCCGGTCCACCTCCCTCCTGTAGGAGACACCAGGACACCAGCCGGTCCACCTCCTGTAGGAGAACCAGGACACCAGCCGGTCCACCTCCCTCCTGTAGGAGACACCAGGACACCAGCCGGTCCACCTCCCTCCTGTAGGAGACACCAGGACACCAGCCGGTCCACCTCCCTCCTGTAGGAGACACCAGGACACCAGCCGGTCCACCTCCCTCCTGTAGGAGACACCAGGACACCAGCCGGTCCACCTCCCTCCTGTAGGAGACACCAGGACACCAGCCGGTCCACCTCCCTCCTGTAGGCGACACCAGGACACCAGCCGGTCCACCTCCCTCCTGTAGGAGACACCAGGACACCAGCCGGTCCACCTCCCTCCTGTAGGAGACACCAGGACACCAGCCGGTCCACCTCCCTCCTGTAGGAGACACCAGGACACCAGCCGGTCCACCTCCCTCCTGTAGGCGGACTCATCGTTGTTGGAGAGGAGTCCAATGAGGGTGGTGTCGTCCGCGAACTTGATCAGCTTCACGGAGTCGTGGCTGGAGGTGCAGTGGTTGGTGTACAGGGAGAAGAGCAGGGGAGAAAGAACACAGCCCTGTGGGGCTCCTGTATTTATAATCCGAGAGTCCGAGACATTCTTCCCCAGACGCACTCGCTGCTTCCTGTCCGTCAGGAAGTCAGTGATCCACCTGCAGGTGGAATCGGGCACGTTGAGCTGGGAGAGCTTGTCCTGGAGCAGGGATGGCAGGATTGTGTTGAAGGCAGAGCTGAAGTCCACGAACAGGACCCTGGCGTAGGTCCCCGGGGAGTCCAGGTGCTGTAGGATGTGGTGGAGGGCCAGGTTAATGGCGTCGTCTACAGATCTGTTGGCTCTGTAGGCGAACTGCAGGGGGTCCAGGAGGGGGGAGGTGAGGGACTTGAGATGGGAGAGAACCAGGCGTTCAAATGACTTCATGACGACAGACGTAAGTGCTACAGGTCTGTAGTCATTGAGTCCTGTGATCCTGGGCTTCTTCGGGACGGGGACAATGATGGAGGATTTGAAGCAGGCCGGGACATGGCAGGACTGCAGAGAGGTGTTGAAAATGTCCGTGAACACAGGAGTAAGCTCACTGGCGCAGTGTCTCCGAGTGGCCGGAGACACGTGGTCCGGGCCAGGAGCTTTGCGGGGGTGCAGCCTCAGGAAGAGTTGTTTAATCTCTTTAGCGGCTATTGTTAGGCTGGGGGCAGGGCTGATGGGTGGGTCGTTAGAGTAGTGGGGGGTGGGGGAGGTGTCAGGGGCAGCATCAAAGCGACTGAAAAATAAGTTCAGTTCGTCAGCTAGCTTGTGGTCGTCAGTACAGGGGGGGGCTTTGGGTTTGTAGTTGGTGATCTCCCGAGGCCCCTCCAGACAGAAGCAGTATCGTTGTTACCAAACTGCTCCTGTAGTCGTTCTCTGTGCCGGGACTTGGCTGCTTTCAGTTCTTTCCTGAACTGATATTTAGCTGCTTTGTAGCCGCTGCGGTCCCCCTCCCTGAAAGCAGACTCCTTTGCTTTCCTGAGCTTGCCGGAGTTTAGCAGTGAACCAGGGTTTGTCGTTGTTATAGATGACCCTGGTCCTTGTTGGAATGATGCTATCCTCACAGAAGTGAATGTATGACGTCACAGTGTCCGTGTATTCATCCAAACTATCTGTGGCAGCTCTGAAAAGGTCCCAGTCTGTAGATTCCATGCATGCAGCTCTTCCACAGCTTCATCAGACCACACTTTGGAGCTCCTCACTGCAGGTTTCGAGAGCTTTAGTCTCTGTCTGTAAGCAGGAACCAGATGTATCATGGAGTGATCTGAGAAGCCGAGGGCTGGTTTGGGAACAGCGCGAAAAGCTCCGCGCACGGTGGTGTAGCAGTGATCCAGAGTGTTCTCCTCTCTGGTCGGGCATTTGATAAACTGTCTGTATTTGGGTAATTCCTGGCTCAAGTTTCCCTTATTAAAATCCCCCAGGATAATAATCAGAGTCCGGGTATAAGCGTTCCATACACAGTACTTGCTCTGCGAGTGCGCGCTGAGCCTCGCGCGCGTCCGCGCATGGCGGTATGTAAACAGAGGCAAGAATGAATGAAACAAACTCACGCGGGGAGTAAAATGGTTTACAATGAATGAAAAGATATTCCAGAGCAGGAGAGCAGTGCTTGGAGATCACTGTCACATCGTTACACCAGTTTGTATTGACGTAGAAACACAGCCCACCACCTCTGCTCTTCCCTGAGAGCGCACAATGGAGGACACAGAGGACACCAGGTCTCAGTGAAGCAGAGGACACAGAGGACACCAGGTCTCAGTGAAGCAGAGGACACAGAGGACACCAGGTCTCAGTGAAGCAGAGGACACAGAGGACACCAGGTCTCAGTGAAGCAGAGGACACAGAGGACACCAGGTCTCAGTGAAGCAGAGGACACAGAGGACACCAGGTCTCAGTGAAGCAGAGGACACAGAGGACACCAGGTCTCAGTGAAGCAGAGGACACAGAGGACACCAGGTCTCAGTGAAGCAGAGGACACAGAGGACACCAGGTCTCAGTGAAGCAGAGGACACAGAGGACACCAGGTCTCAGTGAAGCAGAGGACACAGAGGACACCAGGTCTCAGTGAAGCAGAGGACACAGAGGACACCAGGTCTCAGTGAAGCAGAGGACACAGAGGACACCAGGTCTCAGTGAAGCAGAGGACACAGAGGACACCAGGTCTCAGTGAAGCAGAGGACACAGAGGACACCAGGTCTCAGTGAAGCAGAGGACACAGAGGACACCAGGTCTCAGTGAAGCAGAGGACACAGAGGACACCAGGTCTCAGTGAAGCAGAGGACACAGAGGACACCAGGTCTCAGTGAAGCAGAGGACACAGAGGACACCAGGTCTCAGTGAAGCAGAGGACACAGAGGACACCAGGTCTCAGTGAAGCAGAGGACACAGAGGACACCAGGTCTCAGTGAAGCAGAGGACACAGAGGACACCAGGTCTCAGTGAAGCAGAGGACACAGAGAACACCAGGTCTCAGTGAAGCAGAGGACACAGAGGACACCAGGTCTCAGTGAAGCAGAGGACACAGAGGACACCAGGTCTCAGTGAAGCAGAGGACACAGGATGAAGTCCTTGTTTCTTCTCATGAGCAGGCTGAGTTCGTCTTATTGCCCAGTGAGCGTACGTTGGACAGAAAAATGCCGGGGAGAGGCTCCTCTCCTCCTCAGACGCACGAGCAGCCTCCACGCTTTCCCCTTTTACAGGCCCACACTTTTTTGGCTAGAACATGAACTAAATCAGCCGCAGATGCCAAGAAAACAGGCAATAGGTCCATGGGGACGGTGGGTCGGATGTTCATAAGTTCCTCACGGGTGTAGGAACAGCCAGATGCACAGTTAAAAAGTAAAAACAAAAGAAGAAGAGAGCAGCAAAGAGCCATGTCGACCGTACGAGGCGCCATCTTGCTTTTTGCTTTTTGCTTTTTGGTTTGTAGGGTCTGGATCAGTAGGGTTTGTAGGGTCCGGGTTTAAACGGTGGTTAATAACCTTCTGTTCTCTCAGAGCGGAAACGACTCGGTATCGGCCAATCACAGGAGATGAACACGCTGTTTCGCTTCTGGTCGTTTTTCTTGAGAGATCACTTCAACCGAAAGATGTACGAGGAGTTCAGACAACTGGTGGTGGAGGACGGGAAGGAGGGCTACAGGTGAGACATTATTAATAATATTAATAATATTAATAATATTATTAATGATAATAATATAAATAATAATAATAATATTGTTAATATTAATAATGGAGGACGGGAAGGAGGGCTACAGGTGAGACATTATTAATAATATTAATAATATTATTAATGATAATAATATTATTAATGATAATAATATTATTAATGATAATAATATTAATAATAATAATAATATTGTTAATATTAATAATGGAGGACGGGAAGGAGGGCTACAAGTGAGACATTATTAATAATATTAATAATATTATTAATGATAATATTAATAATAATAATAATATTGTTAATATTAATAATAATAGAGGACGGGAAGGAGGGCTACAGGTGAGACATTATTAATAATATTAATAATATTATTAATAATAATAATATTGTTAATATTAATAATAATGGAGGACGGGAAGGAGGGCTACAGGTGAGACATTATTAATAATATTATTAATAATATTAAACAGGACAGGAGAGGTCTGGACTTCACACAAACCCTAAGCCTCTAAGCGCCTGTGTAACTGAAGGTTTTCATTCCAACCGCAGCAGCACCAGGCTCCACTGAGTCCAGTCTGAGTCCAGTCTGAGTCCAGTCTGAGTCCAGTCTGAGTCCAGTCTGAGTCCAGTCTGAGTCCAGTCTGAGTCCAGTCTGAGTCCAGTCTGAGTCCAGTCTGAGTCCAGTCTGAGTCCAGTCTGAGTCCAGTCTGAGTCCAGTCTGAGTCCAGTCTGAGTCCAGTCTGAGTCCAGTCTGAGTCCAGTCTGAGTCCAGTCTGAGTCCAGTCTGAGTCCAGCTTGGTTGGTGTGAAAACCTGCAGTCTTAAGGTCTTCAGACTCAAACTAAAGCTCGGATGTGTTTTCTCTGCCTCAGGTACGGACTGGAATGTCTCTTCAGATACTACAGCTACGGACTGGAGAAGAAGTTCAGACCCGACATCTTCAGGGACTTCCAGGAGGAGACCATGAAGGACTATGAAGCCGGTGAGAAACTCTAAACTCTAAAAACACATCTACTTTGGATGAACTGTAAAAACAGATCTATCGTATGATGTACAGTAGGTTAAGTCCGCTTTAGCTCTGCCAGCGACTTAAACGCTCAGGTATAAGACTGCGTGCAAACCTGTTTTGCCTAGTGACGCACACATGTGGCGCAGAACTAAAAAAGGTCTTGTTATGACTCTCAAATCATTAATGACAAAACAAAGACTAAAACGAGGATTTATATTGGGATGCCTTTGAACAATTGAGACAGCTGATAAAAGTTCACGTGTGATGCAGAATTTTCTAGTTTGAGTCCGTTCTTCACAGTGTCTCTGCTCGTGTGAATCTGTGGCCTAGCGGTCTAAACTGTGCGCTTACGATGCAGGAACCCGGGTTTGATCCCGGGCCATGCCTTTTTGTATTTATTGCATGTTATCACATTCTATGACAGATTGCTCTAAAAACGGTAAAAGATGAAGGTCAAGACGTTTTTTGCAGATTATAGCTTAATTGTAAAAATAATCATTTAAGACCACATGTAACCCATTAAAATAACGTTAGTCTCTTTTTGATGTGGGACTTTTACATGTTTGTCTAAAAAATAGGGAATAAATAAAATTGAAAGGTGATATCCTCTTGAGCAAACCCTGATGTTGATACACTGAAGAAATACGTTCCAACATCCATTCTTCCCACTCCTATTTTGGGTATCAATTGCTTATTTATTTTGCATAAACTATGTATAATTACATTGCTTTTATTTTAGCGTCCGCCAAAGCTATTTTCTCACGGACATCTCTGATGTTCATATATTACAGCATTTTCCCGCAGCATAAAACAAACATATAGAAAGACAGAATGCTGATGCGCATGCGCAGGGCTTGGTAACGACACACACACGAGCGTACGCGCGCACACACACACACACACACACGAGCGCACACACACACACACACACACACACACACACACACACACACACACGCACACACATGCGCGCGCTACTGGGGGAAGCAAAAGCCTGGCAGAGAGCCCAGGAGCCGCCGCGGTGGAGGAGGACCATGATAAGGACAAAGTGTTGTACCGTGGCCATACCTCCAAAAGTACGTCGCTCTAGTCGAGATGAGCGAAAAGAAATGTTTTCAGATGCCTACTCTTTGTTGTTTTTGGTGTTTTGGGCTATTGTTCAATAAATATCTAAAACAATTTAACCTTTATCTGACTGACAGTTTATCTCAAATAAGAAGATAAGCTTTATTAATCTCACACAAGAGAAATTTACATGTCACATTTGGCATGGATAAAACACTCAAGAATTGTGCAAAAAATAAGAAATGAGAAAACATGTTAATGCAGGAAAATATAAAATTGCATCTGTTAGGATTCAGCAGACAGAGACAGATCGTGGTGTGCCAAACACTGGAAGTTTATTTAAGTTTCTCTCAAGTTCCACTGGTTTACTCTGTTTCTTTCTCTCAGACAGAATAAAGGCAGTACACAGTTTATATAGTCATTGTCACGTCACACATGGAAAGACATACGTGTCACACAGAGACAGTCACATCATAGTCATAACATGGAGTCCTTGTAGAGTCCTGCACGTAGGCCATATTGCTATCTAATACTAACACATGAACTGCAGTTTGTTTAATTGAAAATAGCTTCTATATAGCAAGCTACTTTTGACAGAATTTTGTAACTTAGCTTGCTACATTTGTATGGGTGGTAGCTTCTGTGTAGTGAAGCTGAATTTATTGTAGAGTAGCTTGTAGCTTAGCTCACTACACAAATCAAGTAGCTGGCCCATCACTGCAATCACTGCATGAAAAGTGTGATTTTCGTCTCTTTTCGGCCCTGTTTATTACTGTGAAACTTCTGGGATTCGGCTGTTGACGGTAGTTGTCCCCTCCTCCCTCCTCCACAGGAGGCTTTAACTTCAATAATGTATGACATTATTAATATATTTATTGTGAACAGATGAAAAAATAGATATTTAAACATTTAAGAAATACACTTAGAAGAAAAACAACAACATGCTATCTTTATCTTCTTATTATCACACAGTATTTGTGTGATGAGCCCTGTGACTGTGACGGCTGAGAGCTGACTATACAGAACTGTAGATGCAGACTTTACAAATGAAATTATATAATTAGATATAATCAACATTAAGTATATATTTACATAATAATTAGAATATTTATAAAAATGTATGAACAGACAGGTGTAATATAGTAACTATATACAACAGCACCAATGGACAGCAGATAGCTCATTTATTTACACGCCACCTTTCCCTCTCCCGGTCATAAAAAGGAGACTGCTGGAACATCTGCGTCTCCATCCCCTGGTCCTTGTACAGGGAGAATACTTTGGCAGGGCAGTAGATGTATTTTCCTGACAGACCAGGGAATTGTGTATGAATGTGAGGACTGTTTGGTCCCTGCTTCAGCTGCAGTTTGCAGAACCCGCACTTTCTCCCAGTGGCAGGAGACTCATCTCTCTTCCTTTTCTTCTCCTGCCGCTCATTCACTCTCTGCTGCGTGGCCTCCAGCTCTCTCTGGCAGAACTCAGTGTCCATAAAGTCTCGGAATGGCATCCTGGAGTTGGTCAAACCCTCTGTGCGATAGGTGCTATAGACCTTGGTGGAGCAATAGAAATACCTGGTAGGACCCGGCTGGTAAAAGTCGTGGATGGAGCTGCCGTCGCCCTCATATTTGGATTTTGGCTGGCCACAGGACAGGCATTTCTTTGTGTGGGGTTTATTTGCTGGAGGCTGCTGCTGCTTTTCCAAGATCCGCTGCACAACCTTCTCTATGGCCTCCTCAGACAGCGGTGACATGAGTCTGAGCAGGAGGAGCGGGGTTCACTGCTGCAGGGGGCATGGTGACAACAGGCGCTGTGCTGGTCTTACTGCCTGCTGTGAGCGATGTACTCCCCCAGCACTTCAGCCTTGTCTGAGGCATCACCTCCTCTCACTCGCACCAGAGTGAGGGCGTTCTCCCTCACCACCTCCTCCCTCAGAGGAGCACCGCACTCCGTCATGGACGGGTCGTCCCTGATCTCCCTCGCCTCCTCCGAAGGGTCCTGCAGCAGGAATCCACGTGGGCCCTTGTGAAAAATCACAGTGACGCGGCCAGGAAAGAATGAAAATGTCTTCATATTGTCTGCAACAACAAAAAAAGATCATAAAATATCTAGCTATAGCATGATAGAGAAGTATGTATAATGTATATATCTTTAGCATAATAAAGAAGCATGAATCCTGTATAATCTAGAGAAGACATATACAGTTGTATGTTTACATCTGGACATTAGCAGCATGAGGCTCTGGGATACAGTAAGTACAGTTATAGAAGGAAAATATGAACTGGTAAAACACTAATACATTGTCGTAAACTAACTGCATATAATTCATTTTCAACTCAATGTGTTGCTGAACTATAGAAATGTGAAAAACATATAGATAGTACACACATCAAAAATAATTAGCTAATAATAATTAGCTAGCGCTGGAAATACTACTACAACCAGACGTAAACAAACTGCATTACTGTATACAGTAGAATACAGTGAATACAGATTGTTTGACAACGCAGAGAAAGTGTTTTCTTTACAATATTGATCCAAACAGAGAGATCTACGAGCAGCAGCAGCAGCAGCAGCAACAAACATATGACACGGAGGTAAACAATCATAAACAGCGCACTACACACTCGAGATTTAAACTACAGACGTGTGTGAACGATCTACGCACAATATGAGAGATTTATGGAGTGAAACATAAAGAACGGGCACAAAAACATTGTGTTTATCAGAGGAGACTTACCGAGTGCGTGTGTAATCCACAATGAACGGAGAAAGCCGGCTCTCTCCGTTTTAGAGCAGGGCGCACAAAGTTTTCCCCAAAGTACTTGGATGGGAGACCGCCTGGGAATACCAGGTGCTGTAAGCATTTTGCCCCTGGAGCTCGGGCCTGGAGCTCGGGCCTGGAGCTCGGGCCTGGAGCTCGGGCCTGGAGCTCGGGCCTGGAGCTCGGGCCTGGAGCTTGGGCCTGGAGCTCGGGCCTGGAGCTCGGGCCTGGAGCTCGGGCCTGGAGCTCGGGCCTGGAGCTCGGGCCTGGAGCTCGGGCCTGGAGCTCGGGCCTGGAGCTCGGGCCTGGAGCTCGGGCCTGGGGGCGAGCTCAACAACAGCGTGAGTTGTTGTCGTGTAGTTGAGTTGAAGTTGTTTCCGTCTCTCACCACTCATCATTTCCGGGAGCAAATCAAACAAAATAATGGAAGTTGTTTTAGTAGTGTTTGTTTCCACTTCATAACAAAGAAATGGGTGAATATTTCATTTCGAATTTTTAGATTTTCCAATTTAATTTAGAAAATGGAAATACAATAAAACCACCACGTAATTTGTTTTTCTGATTTTGTTTTGAAACGGAATAACTAATGATCGAAGGGTACACGGATTCGGATTGTACACGGATTATAAAGGATTTGATTTTCCAATTTGATTTAGAAAAGGAAAATACCAATAAACGAATGGAAAATTTGTTTTTCTGATTTTATTTTGAAACGGAATAACTAATGATCGAAGGGTACACGGATTATTCAGAATACTTTTACTTTGATTAGCAATACAAAAATGTAAACTACACATGTTACATATAGCTACCATTAATTAGGAATTCTAAAATGCACAGGAGTAGCAGATCATATGGCAAACATTTGCATTAACTTGCATATAAGGCATTTTAAGCGTCCCGCACATCCGCACGGCTCATTCACTCAGCGCTCTGTCCTATTAGATCCAGTGTTTTCTCCAGCGCCTGTGTGGCGTAGCGGGATCGTCCAAGACTTTCGCTTGGACGATCGGGGTTCGAGCCCCGGCCAATCCTCAGTTTTTATTAGCGGGGGGAGTATATGAATCAGATTACTCCGTTACTGAATAAAGTTGAATTTTTTTCCTGCAGTTTGGTTGGTGCAGATTGTGAAGTTTACAACAGTTTACTACAGTCTAGCAACTATTTTAAATGTGTTGGCCTAATTACTAAGTATGTTTTAGAAAAAATGTAAAGTCAACAAAATCAAAAGTGTCATAGACTGTACTTGAACCCGAGTCCTCTCACACCAGAGTCCAGCTCCTTATCATTGAGCTATAAAGCCACAGAGAGTTGTCCGGTGAACAGAGAAGAAAGACCGATGAAAAGCCAATTTTCCTAACCCTGCTCACACGTGCCACCTGGTGGTTGTTTGGGTCATTGCAGCATCACTGGGGAAAAAATAAATAAAAGACGCGTGAATCACACGTGAGTCTCGTGTGATTCACGCGTGAAAGGCGACAAAACGAAGTGGGACCTACTGTAATTGATGAAGATGACGATGGCTCTTCTTCCACAGTCTCATTCTCTTATTGAGTGGAGGAAAAGTCCTTATTGCTTGTTCTCTTGATACTTTTTGCATCATAAACAAAACAAAGTTATGGCATAAGAGGTTGCATGTTCTCCCTTCGTGTAGGTTTCCTCCAGGTGCTCCGGTTTCTCCATAGTCTCCTCCTGCAGAGTCCACAGGAGCCTTGGTTATTCAGGAGGGAAAATATGTCTTGTGCACTTTAATTTGATTTTATACATTTTAATTTATTAATAATAAAGTGTTTATAAAAAAGACAAAACTTTTTTTTTCCTGAATCGAATAATGAACCGTGGCTCATGAACCGAGGTACGATCCGAACTGTGATTTTACCGTTTTACTCCTAATGAAGAGAATAAAGTTTGGACTGGTAAAAACCCAGTCCAAACTTATGGCTTAATAATTAGTGACTGCATTTTGTTCTGAATTTATGATCACATTGTGTTTGAACTTTGTTCACGTTACAGTACTCCACCCTGCTGTGGTTGAGTACTGCCCCCTGCTGGCCGTCTGTGTAACTACATGCTGTTGTTCCAGGTCAGCTCTATGGACTGGAGAAGTTCTGGGCCTTTTTGAAATACTCCAAACAAGTGAAAACTCTGGAGGTCGATGCAAAGCTGCAGGAATATCTGAGCAAGTTCAAACGCCTCGAGGACTTCAGGATCGACGTGAGTGAAGTCTGTCTGTGCCGTCTGTACCGATGGTACTGTCTGTGCAGACTGTACCGTCTGTACCGATGGTACTGTCTGTACCGATGGTACCGATGGTACTGTCTGTACCGTCTGTACCGATGGTACTGTCTGTACCGTCTGTACCGATGGTACTGTTTGTACCGTCTGTACCGATGGTACTGTCTGTACCGTCTGTACCGATGGTACTGTCTGTACCGTCTGTACCGATGGTACTGTTTGTACCGTCTGTACCGATGGTACTGTCTGTACCGTCTGTACCGATGGTACTGTCTGTACCGTCTGTACCGATGGTACTGTTTGTACCGTCTGTACCGATGGTACTGTCTGTACCGTCTGTACCGATGGTACTGTCTGTACCGTCTGTACCGATGGTACTGTCTGTACCGTCTGTACCGATGGTACTGTTTGTACCGTCTGTACCGATGGTACTGTCTGTGCTGTCGGTACTGTCTGTACCGATGGTACTGTCTGTGCAGACTGTGCTGTCTGTGCCGATGGTACTGTCTGTGCAGACTGTGCTGTCTGTGCCGATGGTACTGTCTGTGCAGACTGTGCCGATGGTACTGTCTGTACTGTCTGTACCGATGGTACTGTCTGTACTGTCTGTACCGATGGTACCGCCTGTACCGATGGTACTGTCTGTACCGTCTGTACCGATGGTACTGTCTGTACCGTCTGTACCGATGGTACTGTCTGTGCTGTCTGTACTGTCTGTACCGATGGTACTGTCTGTACCGATGGTACCGATGGTACCGTCTGTACCGATGGTACTGTCTGTACCGTCTGTACCGATGGTACCGTCTGTACCGATGGTACCGTCTGTACCGATGGTACCGTCTGTACCGATGGTACCGTCTGTACCGATGGTACCGTCTGTACCGTCTGTACCGATGGTACCGTCTGTACCGATGGTACCGTCTGTGCTGTCTGTACCGTCTGTATCAGCGAGGGCAGTTTAACATCTTTGAACTCATTAACAAAACTTTAAATTAAAGTCAAATCAAGAGAAACCAATTCGTCCATTTTCTTCCCCTTAATCCATCTCTGGGTGGGGGTGGCAGTCAGAGTCCCTCACTGATCCTCCTGCAGGTGCTGAGTCCACAGGAGCGTAGATCTTTCAGTGGGGGCTTCAGGCAACGTGGGGTTAAGTGTCTTGCCCAAGGAAACAACGACAGCAGACATCAGTGGGAGTCGTGAAGTAGGTCTTATGGTGGGCTCGAACCCATGACCTTCAGGCTCAAAGGTCAAAGCTCTGAGAGTGAGCCACTGTCGCCTACAAGAGAAACGGTCATGATGCTGCCCTCTGATTGGTCAGGACGCTGCCCTCTGATTGGTCAGGACGCTGCCCTCTGATTGGTCAGGACGCTGCCCCCTGATTGGTCAGGACGCTGCCCCCTGATTGGTCAGGACGCTGCCCCCTGATTGGTCAGGACGCTGCCCTCTGATTGGTCAGGACGCTGCCCTCTGATTGGTCAGGACGCTGCCCCCTGATTGGTCAGGACGCTGCCCCCTGATTGGTCATGATGCTGCCCCCTGATTGGTCATGATGCTGCCCTCTGATTGGTCATGATGCTGCCCTCTGATTGGTCATGATGCTGCCCCCTGATTGGTCATGATGCTGCCCTCTGATTGGTCATGATGCTGCCCTCTGATTGGTCATGATGCTGCCCTCTGATTGGTCATGATGCTGCCCCCTGATTGGTCAGGAGGCTGCCCTCTGATTGGTCATGATGCTGCCCCCTGATTGGTCATGATGCTGCCCCCTGATTGGTCATGATGCTGCCCTCTGATTGGTCATGATGCTGCCCTCTGATTGGTCATGATGCTGCCCTCTGATTGGTCATGATGCTGCCCTCTGATTGGTCATGATGCTGCCCTCTGATTGGTCAGGACGCTGCCCCCTGATTGGTCAGGAGGCTCCCCTCTGATTGGTCAGGACGCTGCCCCCTGATTGGTCAGGAGGCTCCCCTCTGATTGGTCAGGAGGCTGCCCTCTGATTGGTCAGGACGCTGCCCCCTGATTGGTCATGATGCTGCCCCCTGATTGGTCAGGAGGCTGCCCTCTGATTGGTCAGGACGCTGCCCCCTGATTGGTCATGATGCTGCCCTCTGATTGGTCAGGACGCTGCCCTCTGATTGGTCATGATGCTGCCCTCTGATTGGTCAGGACGCTGCCCTCTGATTGGTCAGGAGGCTGCCCTGATTGGTCAGCAGGCTCCCCTCTGATTGGTCAGGAGGCTGCCCTCTGATTGGTCATGATGCTGCCCTCTGATTGGTCATGATGCTGCCCTCTGATTGGTCATGATGCTGCCCTCTGATTGGTCATGATGCTGCCCTCTGATTGGTCAGGACGCTGCCCTCTGATTGGTCATGATGCTACGTTGACGTTTGGTTTGTTGCTGTTCGTGTTAAACGTGTCTTTCTCCTTCAGCCGCCGATGGAGGACGGCGGCCGCAGACGTCACTCATCCAGCGGCGACTCGAGACGAAGACATCCATCACAGACCGGGACCGGACGACCGCCAAGCCAGGCCAGCGCCACGCCAAGCCCCGCCCCTCCCACTGACCCCGCCCCCAATTAAACCCCTGTATCCGCCCTTGTTGGATCGGCTTCACCACGAGCTCAGACGAAGACGAATGAAAAACCTCAGCGTGGTTTTGACGAGGCCCACGTTCCGGCGTTCCACGTTCCGGCGTTCCACGTTCCGGCGTTCCACGTTCCGGCGTTCCACGTTCCGGCGTTCCACGTTCCGGCGTTCGACGTTCCGGCGTTCGTCGTTCCGGCGTTCGTCGTTCCGGCGTTCCACTTCATGTTTCATTTTGGAATTCTGTCTCCTTCTTCCTGAGTATTTAACTTCTTGCCTCACTTCCTCTGGCGTCTCGCGGAGATCCGTTTTCCACAAACGCCGCTTGTTCCAACTTGGACCAATCTCTGGTCTTTTCATTTAAGCCCCTCCCCCTCCTGCCAAAAAAAGAAAAAACAAGTGAAAAACTCTGATGGGGGGGGAGGAGCTGAACCAAACCAGACATTTCTGAGAGTTGCCTTATTTTAATGGTTCCCCGACGTTTCAGTGAAAGTTCAGTCTTCCAACACATCCATGGCCTGTTACATCCTGTCTCCGCAGAACCCTTCGTTTCAAAGACTGAAAACCCACAAAATCTGGAGCAACTTGAACCGAAGTTTACAGGAAGTGGAAACGACAAATGTGAATCTGACCTTTTCTTGTTCATAGCTCAGATGATTATATATAATTACTTTAGAAACATTTTTTAAAGGTCTCATTATTATTATATTTTAATGCTTTTTAATTTACCACATTTGCAGTGTTGGTGTTTGGTGTTCGCTGAAGGGAAAGTTGGAACTTTGCCAAGAATAAACCGCCTTTAACGCTTTTCTACAAATCTGAAAAATCGTTGAAATGACCGAGGCTTTGACAGAAAAACCAGAATAATGCAAATAAAGTCAAACCAGGCTCAAAAAGGATGTTTCCTGTAAATGTACATTTCTGACGTTAAAGTAAAGAGTTTAAATCATGTTCTGTGAAGTTCCGATGATTAAAACGACACTTTTGTTTTTTTCAATTCATTCAAAAACATTTTTGGAATCGGACAAAAACCTAAAATGTTGTTGATTCGTCCGTTTCTAGAGGAGCGACTTTTTCTTCTGGATTTTATCTTTTGCCAAATTAAACAAGTTATTTATTGAACCACAAGAGTCCACTTCCTTTTAAAAAAACACCAAAACTCAACAATTAAACTCATTCGCAGCTTTTTGCATCGTCAGCGTTTTCTTTTCACGATCCAGAAACCTCTAGAAGTGCGTACGACAAGTTTTTACTCAACACAAGAAGCACGGCTAAGCTAACGGTGGCTACGGCATTCATAACGTCTGCTTCTATCCTCTCTGAAGACCTAATGCTGTCTGTTAGTTAGCTTAGCGTTAGCAACACCTTAGCTTAGCATTAGCAAATCAAGCATCCTATTCAGCGACTGTTAAATACTGAATATGCTCCGTAACTTCCGAGTCGTCAGGGAGTAGTTTTCTAAATCCGTTTGATGAAAATACTCCTGAACTTGTCGTACGCTCTCAAATAATATCTTTTAAAGCTCGGGTTCCTAAGTTTGAGTTAAATTCAGTGGTATTTTTTTAACCCTCGACAGCTTCATTTTAAAAACTGAATCTAGGGCTCGGTTTAAGTCATAAATTATTGTTTTTAGTTACTTTTTAAAACTGTACCAAGTCCTAATGCAACAGTTCAAAGAAAAAAGTTACATTCAAAAACGTTAAGTCGTGGAGTAAAAAATACGACACAATCTGATTATGTAAATAAATACTTTTCAACCAAAAAAGTGACTGGTTCAAAATAAAGTAGTTTCAGCCCAAAATGAAAGATTAAAATGAAAGTGTTTCTGGAGCTTTCTGTAGAGGCCAAAACAACAGACCTTTTATGTAAAGTTCAGACTAAGTGAAAGAGTTGAAGTTCAGACTTTGCGAATGCCCCGACGGAAACGTTAGCTGCTAGCTCATTGCGCTAATGTCGTTAGCTTGAACCTTTTGTATGTGGTGCTGAAGCAGACAGTAGGGGGCGCTGCGGCCTGTGTTTCATATGGTGCTTTTGGAGACGGACATTTTCACGAAGCCATAACTTTATCAAGTGTAGATGAAACAGTTTAAAAGGAACAAAAAAATCTATAAAATGGAAAAATGTAAATACTTGAATGAGATCATAACATTTACGATAATATCTGCTTTGATGTGATTCGCTGATTAGTCTTCTTTGTAATTTGTAGTAATTATGCTTTTTTTTCCTTAATAAAGAAAAAAACAAAAAACGCACAAAAAACCTCAAACTCTGTCGACTCCGTTGTTTCTGTGGTTTTGATTCACATTTTTTTTTTTTTTTTATATATTTTTTTTTTTTTTATTTATTTCGAGACAAACTTCAAAACCCCCCAAACCCAGCCACTCCCCCTTGCATTCATACCACAGCCACCATCATCCACACATTCTTAGTATTTTGAACACAGACTATAGACAAAAAAGAAGCACAAAGCAAAAGAAAATAATAACATAGAAAATGAGAAATAAAATAAAGTCACTAAAACGCAGCAGCTCGTCTCCAACACCTCCAGACGCTCATCACCCCAGTCCTCCGCTCTCTCCTCTGGCTCCCGGTGGCATTTAGGGTGGAGGGTCCTGATGTTTGTGTTCAAGGCTATCAATGGTCTGGCCCCGGCCTACCTCGCCGAACTAGTAACGGTCTACAAACCAGCCAGAGCTCTGCGCTCCTCTGAACACACCTCCCTCGTCACTCCCAAATTCAAATACAAAAAGTTTGGAGGCCGTTCATTTGCTGCCCAAGGCCCAAAGCTGTGGAACGCACTTCCTGTACAGCTTCGAAACATCACTGAGTTGAGTGTTTTTAAATCACAGTTGAAGACACATCTTTTCAGGAAAGCATTCAATGCATAATCACTGACTCGACTGCTGTTCTTTTTTATGTGTTTGTTTTTATCGGTGTCTATTGTGATTCTTGTTTTTATCCTGGAAAGCGCCCTGGGCACCTTCTGGCTGTTGTTGGGCGCTATACAAATAAAAATTTGATTGATTGAATTTGATTTGAATACCAATCAAAATCCATAAACAAAATACAATATAATTAGCAAAACATTTACGACATAACAAATGGCGTAGCAAGTACACCTAATATTTATATCTCTAACTCAGGTAAGCAGACATTCCATTTCTTTTCATGCTCCATTATTCTGTTGTTATTTGTTGCTATAATTGTTTCTAACATATACTGATGATAAACTCTATTCTTAAAGTGTTTTATACATACATTTGATACATTTTTAGCTTTAAAAATAAACATTTTACCCATCAGAATAATCATATTCAAAAGGTATGTGCATTTACCCTCAAAAATACATAACACAATATTCTGAGGTGTAATTTGCAAAGCAATACCCATAGACCTTAACCATAACTGTACACTGACCCAAAACTAACCATAACTGTATACACTGACCCAAAACTAACCATAACTGTATACACTGACCCAAAACTAACCATAACTGTACACTGACCCAAAACTAACCATAACTGTATACACTGACCCAAAACTAACCATAACTGTACACTGACCCAAAACTAACCATAACTGTACACTGACCCAAAACTAACCATAACTGTATACACTGACCCAAAACTAACCATAACTGTATACACTGACCCAAAACTAACCATAACTGTACACTGACCCAAAACTAACCATAACTGTACACACTGACCCAAAACTAACCATAACTGTATACACTGACCCAAAACTAACCATAACTGTACACACTGACCCAAAACTAACCATAACTGTATACACTGACCCAAAACTAACCATAACTGTACACTGACCCAAAACTAACCATAACTGTATACACTGACCCAAAACTAACCATAACTGTATACACTGACCCAAAACTAACCATAACTGTATACACTGACCCAAAACTAACCATAACTGTACACTGACCCAAAACTAACCATAACTGTATACACTGACCCAAAACTAACCATAACTGTACACACTGACCCAAAACTAACCATAACTGTATACACTGACCCAAAACTAACCATAACTGTACACTGACCCAAAACTAACCATAACTGTATACACTGACCCAAAACTTACCATAACTGTATATACTGACCCAAAACTAACCATAACTGTATACACTGACCCAAAACTAACCATAACTGTATACACTGACCCAAAACTAACCATAACTGTATACACTGACCCAAAACTAACCATAACTGTACACTGACCCAAAACTAACCATAACTGTACACTGACCCAAAACTAACCATAACTGTATACACTGACCCAAAACTAACCATAACTGTACACACTGACCCAAAACTAACCATAACTGTACACTGACCCAAAACTAACCATAACTGTACACTGACCCAAAACTAACCATAACTGTACACACTGACCCAAAACTAACCATAACTGTATACACTGACCCAAAACTAACCATAACTGTACACACTGACCCAAAACTAACCATAACTGTATACACTGACCCAAAACTAACCATAACTGTACACTGACCCAAAACTAACCATAACTGTACACACTGACCCAAAACTAACCATAACTGTACACTGACCCAAAACTAACCATAACTGTACACACTGACCCAAAACTAACCATAACTGTATACACTGACCCAAAACTAACCATAACTGTATACACTGACCCAAAACTAACCATAACTGTACACACTGACCCAAAACTAACCATAACTGTATACACTGACCCAAAACTAACCATAACTGTATACACTGACCCAAAACTAACCATAACTGTACACTGACCCAAAACTAACCATAACTGTATACACTGACCCAAAACTAACCATAACTGTATACACTGACCCAAAACTAACCATAACTGTATACACTGACCCAAAACTAACCATAACTGTATACACTGACCCAAAACTAACCATAACTGTATACACTGACCCAAAACTAACCATAACTGTACACTGACCCAAAACTAACCATAACTGTATACACTGACCCAAAACTAACCATAACTGTATACACTGACCCAAAACTAACCATAACTGTATACACTGACCCAAAACTAACCATAACTGTACACTGACCCAAAACTAACCATAACTGTACACTGACCCAAAACTAACCATAACTGTACACACTGACCCAAAACTAACCATAACTGTACACACTGACCCAAAACTAACCATAACTGTATACACTGACCCAAAACTAACCATAACTGTATACACTGACCCAAAACTAACCATAACTGTATACACTGACCCAAAACTAACCATAACTGTATACACTGACCCAAAACTAACCATAACTGTACACACTGACCCAAAACTAACCATAACTGTACACTGA